CTGCCAATTTTTTTTCCCGCGCTTTGCGAAACCGTCGCAAGCCTCGAAAAAGACGGTCCCATGTGCATCAAGAGACAGTCCTCGGTTATCTTCTTGACTTCCCGGGCCACAGCTTACAAGTTCTTGCCTCGGCCACTTGCCCCGATCCCTTGACCGATGACCCCATCCCGCTTCTCATCTTAGCCTGTGCCATTATATGTATCTAAGGAGGCAGAACGTGCCCCGCCATCTTATCTCCACGTCCACCAGCTATCTCCGGCATCAACGAGGTTTGGCAAGTCCTCCCTCCAGAAGACCATACCAAAAATGGATTTACTCCGTGAGTTCTGGCTCGAATTTCATGTTCATGGGCTTGATCTGACGCTGACTACTACAGGAAGCGCCTCCCAAGTTTACGAAACGGACCGCCCATCCGTTCAAATTTCAGTTCTGCGGGAAAATCGAGTCTATTGGCAGAAATTGAGCTCAACAAGTGAGTTCTTACTCGTATATTATGTTCTTGGGCTCTATTTGACGGAAATTACCTCAGGAACAACCTTCCGAGTTTGCGAAACATCACGCCCAACCGTTCAAAGTCAGCGTTCGGTTCTGCAAAAAAATAATGTCTTTTACCAGAAAATGAGACTAACAGGTAAGTTCTCGCTCGATTCTTACGTTCTTAGGCTCTATCTGACGAGAATTACTCCAGGAACGATCACCCGAGCTTACGAAACATGAAGCCCAAGCGTTCGAATTCAGTGCTCGATTTTGTGGGGGGAATAAAGCCCATAAACAGAAATTAAGGTTGACATGTAAGTTCTCACTCGATTCTTACGTTTTTAGGCTCTATCTGACGAGAATTACTCCAGGAACGACCACCCGAGTTTACGATACATGACGCCCAAGCGTTCGAATTCAGTTTTCGGTTTTGTGGGGGGAATAAGGCCCATAAACAGAAATTAAGGTTGACATGTAAGTTCGCGCTCATTTTTTACGTTCTTAGGCTCTATTTGACGAGAATTACTTCAGGAACGACCACACGAGTTTACGAAGCTTGGCGCGCAACCGTTCACATTCGGAGAATAATGTCCCCTACCAGATATTAGGGTTGACA